CTTTCTTGATCATAACAACGCGCTATCGCAAAAAGTATGCTCTTATCCAGTTCACGGTGCACCTGATTCGCTCTTAGCCGTTTGTGATCTGTACAGATAATGCGTTGTTACGCACAGTCATACATCCACCACATATATCACATGAATGACAGAATTATTTCCTTCTTCACCGGAAAAAAGGTATAAGTCGGGTCGACCTACACTCCCCATCGTGGAGATCGAAGCGCTATCGTCTCGCCCCGACAATGGATTGTTGCATGTCACAATGGTGATACCTCTTGTTGTGGCGATGTGTTTAAGGAACGAAACAGACGCAACATGCGCTGTATTGCTGATAGCTTTTGAAATCAAGAGGCTCGAGAAATCAATTATCGTTTTAACAAAGCGCATTATTGCTCGTCTGCACCGCTATGCCTTTTCAAGGCTTGCTGAGCAGCACCAACCACGTGGTATTTAACCCGTCCGGGTACCTCATGATGAGGAATTTAAGCGCAGAACACTACATTATACCCTTACGTGTAGCCATGTCAGAAGCAAAAAATACAATCTGCACAGTATATAATGGTGGCCCGACATGTATAAACGTCTAAATACTTCTGTGCACATGTGAAAGACGTGTCAGAGGCCGGAATTAAATGTCCGACAAACTTATGTGGAGAGACCGCGATGCTGAGGCTGATTGCCCCCCTTCGTTGAATTTGAGCTGAAATACGCAATGCAAACCTCTAAGAAATTTGCATGATTATTTATTGACTATAATCAGCCTCAAGATTCCTCTGATACCAATACTAAGTTACTCAGGTCTTGGCGAAGGAAGGTTGCCAGATAAATTTCTTCGCTATTATTAGATCAGCTATATATCTAAGCAAAATCGCAGATCGTCATCAGTGAAAATGAGCGTCATAAATCATATACGTGACGCTATAGCAGATGATCAATTTGTTAAACAGCAACATGCCGGAGCCAGAGGCTGGCAAAAAATACATGAGAATGTTGAATGCTGTTAGCCTTTAAACACATGCATTGGTCGTGCTCTATACGGTGAAGTTGCGATCACGCAATGTTTCACTGCTTATGGTCGTAGCGATTGATCCAGGCTCTGACTTGTGGAAAAATGTAAATAATTACGTGATCTACGCGGGCTTACAAAAAGTATATTAGAATCGAGCTCTTGCATTACATACGGAGCTGTGTCGCGACCGCTTCCTCAAAGAGTAAATCAGAGATCTGGATTACTCACCATCAAAAGCTT